TCCACAAGAAGAATGAATATTCTTTCGTATGGAATAATAAAAAGATCATCCTACCACCTATTCCACCTTCTCCAAAGCACCCCAAAGATCAAAAGTCCAAACGATAATAAAAAGATCATCCTACCACCTATTCCACCTTCTCCAAAGCACCCCAAAGATCAAAAGTCCAAACGAATATCTCTTTGCAACAAAGGGTGAATTTCTGGCCGAGTTAAAGGAGTTAAAGCAGAAATTTGCCTTAGTAGTGAAGGAAGAAGTGAAGACACTAATTGAGATCCCAGAGAAGATGAAGTCACTACTTAAGGACTTTGAAGTTTTGATTCCTAAAGAGCTGCCAGAGGGACTTCCTCCTATGAGGGATATTCAACACCACATTAATTTCATTCCGGGTTCAGTACTTCCTAATCTTCCTCATTATCGTATGAACCTACAGGAGAAAAAGATCCTATAGGATACCATTGAGGACCTCATTAAGAAGGGTCACGTTCGAGAGAGTATGAGTCCATGCGTAGTTCCAACATTGTTGACACCAAAGAAGGACGGAAGTTGGCAGACGTGTGTGGACAGTCGAGCCATTAACAAGATCACAATTCGCTACAAGTTTCCAATTCCTCGGTTAGATGATATGCTAGACCAGTTGGGAGGTGCGAGCATCTTTTCGAAGATCGACTTGAGGAGTGGCTATCATCAAATCCGAATCCGACCCGACGACGAGTGGAAGACTGCTTTCAAAAGCACTGAGGGTCTTTACGAATGGTTAGTGATGCCTTTTGGGTTATCGAATGCTCCAAGCACCTTTATGCATTTGATAACCAAATTCTGAAGTCTTTCTTAGGAAGATTTGTAGTCGTCTACTTTGATGACATTCTCATCTATAGCCGCCTTTTGGGTTATCGAACGCTCCAAGCACCTTTATGCGTTTGATGAACCAAATTCTAAAGCCTTTCTTGGGAAGATTTGTAGTCGTCTACTTTGATGATATTCTCATCTATAGCCGAGATGAATAGGAGCATATGTTGCATCTCTGAGAAGTTTTTCGAGTGCTAAAGGAGAACGAGCTTTACATCAATCTTAAAAAGTGCGTGTTCTTGACGACTCAGCTAGTGTTCTTGGGGTTTGTGGTAAGTTCGCAAGATATCCAGGTTGACAAAGATAAAGTCAAAGCAATCAAGGATTGACTGACTCTGAGAAGTGTTACTGAAGTAAGGAGCTTTCATGGGTTAGCATCTTTTTATCAGCGTTTCATTCGCAATTTCAGTTCTATAGTTATTCCCATGACAGATAGTTTGAAGAAGAAGGGTGTTTTCGAGTGGACTGAGAAAGCAAATGCGGGTTTTGCCCTTATCAAGGAGAAGATTACTACTGCACCTATATTGGCGTTTCCAGATTTCGACAAGCTCTTTGAGCTTGAGTGCGACGTGTGTGGTGTAGGTATTGGAGCAGTCCTCTCTCAAGAGAAGTGCCCAATTGCTTTCTTGAGCGAGAAGTTGAATGGAGCTCGACAGAAGTGGAGTACTTATGAGCAGGAATTATATGTTATTTATCGTTCTTTGAAGACTTAGGAAAGTTACCTCATTGCTAACGAATTCGTAATTTACTTCGACCATCAATCTCTTCAACACTTCAAGAATCAAAGGCATATTAACAAAATGTATAGACACTGGGCTTCGTATTTTGAACAGTTTAATTTTACTTTACGACATAAATCAGGAGTCGACAATAAGGTACCCGATACTTTGAGTCGGTGGGTATCCTTGTTGAGCGTGTTGCGAGGTGAAGTTGTTGCTTTTGACTGTTTAAAAGAGCTTTATGTTAATAATGGAGACTTTCAGGAGATTCAGGTAAAGTGTTCGACAAGACATCTCGCAGGAGATTATGTTATCATGGACACTTTCTGTTTAAAGGAAATCAGCTTTGTATTCCTAGGACGTCATTAAGGGAGAAGATAGTTTGAGACTTACATGGTGGTGGGCTTGATGGATACTTTGGGCAAGACAAGATTGCCTTGAGTCTTGAGGAGAGATACTATTGGCCGAGTTTGAGGAAGGATGTGGCGATACTTGTGAGGAGTTGTTAAGTGTGCCAAGTTGTAAAGGGGCAAGTACAGAATACTGGTTTGTATACTCCTCTACATGTGCCCAAGGATATATAAGAAGATTTGAGTATGGATTTTGTGTTGGGACTTCCCCGAACACAAAGAGGCGTGGATTCAGTCTTCGTGGTAGTGGATCATTTTTCTAAGATGGCTCACTTCATCCCGTGCCGTAAGACTTCGGATGCACCATATGTTGCACGGCTATTCTTTCAAGAAGTGGTTCAGCTACATGGAGTTCCTAGTTCGATTGTTTCAGAGAGGGATACTAGGTTCTTAGCGAGTTTTTGGACTACTTTATGACGACAATTTGACACTTCATTGAAGTATTCTAGTACAATACACCTTCAAACGGATGGACAAACAGAAGTGGTCAATCGAACCTTGGGGAATTTGATTCGATGCATATGTGGAGAGAAGCCAAAGATGTGGGATCAATCTATCCCTCAAGCTGAATTCGCCTACAACTTGACTGTTCATAGTTCCACGGGTATGTCTCCTTTTCCATTGTTTATAGGAAGACACCCAGACATCTCCAAGATTTGTTGATGTTGCTGACAAGTAGCGAGGTTAGCGAGGCAGCAAGTTTCTTGGCTGAGAATACTATCAATATTCAGGAAGAAGTGTGTACAAAACTTGAGAAAGCTAATGCAAAATTCAAGGCGCGAGCAGACAAGAAGAGGTGATTCAAGGTGTTCAATGAAAGAGACATGGTGATGGTTTACTTGCGGAAAGAACGGATGTCAGCTGAAACTTATAGAAAGCTTAAGCCGAAACGATATGGTCCCTTCAAGATTTTTAAGAAGATCAATGATAATGCATATGTAGTGGATCTTCCTGAAGGAATGGCTATGTCGACGACATTCAACGTGGCAGATATTTTTGACTATCATCCTTCAATTGAGTTGTATTCAAGTGATGTGAACTCAGAGATGAGTTCTTTCGAAGAAGGAGGGACTGATACAAGAGATCTACAAGACGTGACGCGACGGCTCGAAACATACGAGTCGACAACAAACCAGACAAGATAAGACTCGACGACTCAAACCAGACGAGTTGACAACAAACCAGACGAGACGAGACTCTGAGACCCCGAGACTTCGAAACCCCAGTCGAAAGGACCCGAGAACCCGAGACTCCGAAACCCCAGTTGACAAGACGAGATCCCAGCCGAGACCCCAATCGACAGGATGAAACGACACGCCCAAGTCTACACGAAGGGCAATGTTAGTCAACACCTGCCAGTTGACACGTCCCAGTCGACACAAAGGGAGTCAGTCAACACATGTTAGTCGACTCATGTCCAGTCGTCACGAAAGGCGTTGCTACTTGCCACGCCTCATGTCAACTCGGATTTTAGATTAGGAAAGAGTTCCTTTTTTTATTGTTTTCTTTTGGGATTTGGTATTTTCCTTTTAGACTTAGAGTTTCTTTTTGATTAGAGTTAGGATAGATTTAGTTGGTTATAAATATTAGTTCCTTTTGTAAATTGTAAATCAATTTTTTTATTATTCAATTAAGAGAAATTTCTCCTTGTTTTCGTTCTCAACTTTGAGAAACTTAAAGCTTATGGATTCAAGCTCGTGAATTACCTGTTGTTGTCAGGGCTCGTCGGCATCGGAACGATATCCGTTAGGATAGAGTTAGTTGGCTATAAATATTAGTTCCTTTTGTAAATCGAGAATTAACTTTTCAATTATTGAATCAAGAGAAATTTATCTATTGTTTTCTTCCCTAAACTTGGAAAAATTAGGGCTTGTGGATTCAAGCTTGTTATCTACATGTTATTGTCAGGGCTCGTCGGCATCGGAACGATATCCGATCAGCCTCCCCGTTTCTACGTCTGCGTCAGTAATAGTGTCACATTTGTTTCCATCTCGATCCACATGCATCATTAACTTTTCTTAGATATCTCCATTTATTAGAATTTATATATTATTTTTTCTCGTTCTAATAGGTATTATTATATTTTTGGGTGTCATTAATATTATAATTTATATGTCTTAGGAAACCAAAGTTTCCAGTAAGGACATGTTTGGTTAGTTTCTCGAAAATCAAAGAAAAGAAAATAGGGGGAAGGAAATAATCTTTATTGGTTTTCCTCCTATTTCTATACAAAAATTCATGAAATAAGTTTTTTTAAATGTAAGTCGCATTAATCAATGGTCATGTGCCATGTCACCATTCTAATTGACTTCAAGACTTGAACTAAATAAGAAAAACAAAGAGTTATAGGAAATTGGTTCCCTACAGTACATTTTATTTCTAGGTAAATGACACTTAAATACCCTACTGTTTCACCATTTTTATACTTAAATGCTCTAAATTGTAAAAAGTAGCACATAAATATCCTAAATTGTAAAAAATTAGCACATTAATGCCTTTTGTTAGTTTTCATGTGTGTTAGTTTTCATGGGAATATTCTTAGAAAATTATTTTGAAAACTAATAAAAGATATTAAAGTGCTATTTTTTTATAACCTAAAATGCTATTTTCTTACAATTTAAAATATTAAAATTCTATTTCTTACAACTTGAAATATTTTAGTGTAAAAGTGGTGGAACAATAGGGTATTTAAGCATCAATTTTTTTTTATAAATTAGGGTATTAAAATGCTATTTTTTATAACTTAGAAGACTAAAATGCTACTCTTTATAACTTAGGATTTTTTAAGTTTGAAGGTGGTGATACAACGGCGTATTTAAGTTCCTTTTAACCTTTATTTTTTGGCCAACCAAACAGCCTCCAAGCAAAATAGAAAATATGCAAATGATAGGCGTTTACATGCAAAAAGAACACTATTTCAAGTTTGTCAGGACCCACTCTAGGAAAGCTCCTGGTAAGCAGACCGTCGGTGACTGGACCCCACATACCCATTTGTACGATTTATATTTCCCGGGTCCAAATTTAGATTTTACCCAAATTGTCCCCAAATATTAGCCTTTTCCCCTTCTCTCTCTAGATCGCAGCAATGGCAGCGGCCACCAAGATCGGGATCATGGACGGCGCCTATTTCGTCGGCAGGGGCGAGATCCTCTCTTGGATCAACGCCACCCTCCAGCTCAACCTCACTAAGATCGAGGAGGTAATCAAAATCCCCGTTTGCTATTGAAATTAGATGTCGTTTTAGTTTTGGCTGATGGGTACGCAAGAGATTGACTGAAAATGCTTGTACGAGTGATTTTGAGGCATTATTGGGTACTAATTCTCTAAATGTTAGAACTTATGTGATCTATTTGAGGGATTTGTGTCGTTGAATAGTTAATAAAAAGATAATCGTAGAAACATGGAAACTTCATTCATTTTGAGTGGTGATCTTCCTACAGAAGTAGAAAAGATTTGTTCTTTAGTTGCATTTTGTTGATTCATATTGAAACCCATCAAAGATCTTCTGATGCCGATTTAGCATCTAGTTCTTTCTCATGTGTGATTAAATTTGAGGGCAAAAATTTGAATGAGCAATGATGAAAAACCACCTAGAACTTTAAAAACAGTGAAAATGACCATTTGTTTACGTTGTTTGGGCTGGAGATGGGACTTTAACTGGATAAATGACTTTAATAACGGAAAAGTTAAGCTTCTTTCATACAATAGGATGTATTGAGCAAAATGTGACATCTCTGACCGTAACAAGCACAATTTTGATGTCCTGTTACAGCATTTGTGCTCGCTGGGTGAAAAGCAAGTATTTTTGTGGTGACCGCGATGTGTTGCATCGATGCTACCCCGATGCAATGATAAGTAAGTAAGGGTGGTTTGTTAAGGGGTCCCCAAAAGCGACACATTACATCGATATCAACCCGGTGTAATAACAAGTAAGCAAGGGTATTCTAAGAATCTACAGTCCTCTAATAGGTTATCAAATAGTATTAGATATAGACTAGAACGGTCTAAGAGGGAAAACAGTATGAGACTTTTACAGGAAAATAGAATTAGATTAGCTACTTGAAATATAGATACATTTACCGGAAAGACTATGTAATTAGTGTATGTTATGCTTAGAAGAAAGATAAATATAAATTATTTACAAGAAATTAAATGGATAGGTGAAAAATCTAGGAAAATTAAAAAGATCGGATATAAACTTTGGTATACAGGAAAAGAGAAGAATAGAAATGGAGTAAGAGTTTTTGTAGATAATATAATAAAAGAAAGTATTGTAGAGGTAAAAAGAGTTGAAGATAGAATAATACTCATAAAAGTTACTTAGGTGTAGAGGTTATTAATATTATTAGTACTTACACACCACAAATAGGCTTGTCCGAGAGTATTAAAAAGGACTTTGGGGATAGATTAGATGAATTAGTACAAGGAATCCTATTTAGAGAGAAATTATTTATAGGAAGGCATCTTAATGGGCATGTTGGTAAGAATAATAATTGATATGAGAGGATACATGAGGTTTCGGGTATGGGGATAAGAACAATATGGATAAATCAACTTTAGAGTTCGCAATATCATATGGGTTGATGCTAATAATCGAACAACTAATTAAGAGGGAGGGTTAGGTTATCAGAAATCCTCTAACTCCTCCCATTGTCCAGTTTCAGAGCAAGCTGTTCTTTCCTGCACGTGTAAGAAACTCGTAAGAGGACGAAATTGGGTTCTCTGGTTGTTCCTTTAACGATCAAGTCAGTGAAGTGCTTGAGTGGAGAAGAAAATGAACTGTAGGGGTCCTGGAGCTTAAGGAGTAGGAAAAAATTGCTTACCCACGTGCTGAGAATAGCCCTCCCATTTATAGTATTAATAGAGGGGTAGTTTGGTAACTTCAGTCGAGTATGAGCTGGCGGCTAAGTCAGTACTTGCTTTACAGGTATCGGTTACCCAGTGACGGGAATTACTTCGGCGTTTAATGTGAAGATATAGGAGGCACGTGTTACCGACATGGTCCGATATGTTATAAAAATCTTTGGGGGTGGAGAAATAATGACTTTGACCATGCATTTAATGTGATGGCAACCAGCTGTCAGCGGAGGGGGCCCGAGGTATGCCGTTGCCTTTCTACTCGTCAAATAGAGGGCCGAGAAGTACAACCTTTTGAGCCTGCTTCGCGACGAGGAGGTCGACATGTATCACCTTTTGAGCCAGCTACGCGAGATATCATCTTTTCAAATCGTCCGAGCTGGGGACTTTTGGTTATCTCGAAGTGATGAACCGATTTAATTAGGCAGTGAACGTGGAACACTTGTCTGCTATTGAAGGGAGATTATTATTCATTAATTAAAACATTATAACAGTTGGCCCCTTTCACTTAGAGTCGGCCTAGGTTGAATCCGAGTGAAATGAGATTGCGAACTAGTCGAGTCCTGACGCGCATTAATGAGAGGAGCTGAAAAGTTCTACAGATGCGATGTGGCTGTTGTCAACGAACATCTTTTAGCTGATGCTGTGCTTTTCATGCCGGATTGCGGGCTAATCAAGGTAGGTATGATGTGCCTTGATCCCGGAGAAGCTGTTTCGAATTTCGGAATTAATCTTGGCCGTTGGTTAAATACCGATCTGGTTGTTTGGGATTTTGACACATTTTGCCCAGCTGTCTATAAGTACGGTTGCCGCAAAGGGAGAGAGGTTACTACCTCTAAGAAATTCTTAATCCCTAATTGAAAGAGAATTATGATCGCTTTCCTCCGATGATTTTTTAAGGATATTTCGATGGCTGCGCCTGTTTTCAATGCTACACAAAAATTATTGGCGGAGCTCCATTCAAAGGTGACGATGCTACAACTGAGATCACTACATGGGAGATTTGATATCCTAGTCTTTACAAGCTAACGACACCAACGAGGTTGGAGGCAGTCTATGATCATGGCGCAAGTAGCGCTCCGCTATATTTGAAACACTTGTAGTGCGGTCTGTGCTTGCATCTACATTCCTTCCTCCGTTGTGTTTTCATAGCTCTGGGTGTATCGTCGGCACAAATGAAGCCAAATGCTATCGTGACCATAGTGGGGGTTTGTAGCAATTTGTCATTGGCTGGCGATCCAACTGTCTTTAAGTGTTCTGGGTCATCTGATTGGTGTCAAAGTGCACCAGAAAGAACCCCATTACTAATTCTAGGTAGTGGGCAAATTCAAAGTCGTTGATGTCCTTGAGTCGAACAAGGATTGGAAGGAGAAGTTTGTCTGGGTCTTAGGGGACGACTCAGATTTAGGCTACTCGAATTGGCCCGAAACAAGGAGGGGGCTCTAATGGTGGGTGACTTGTTGAGCGCCGAGAGGGATGCCTTGGACTAGATCAGGGCGTACACTGGCTCTCGCAAGATGAAACATATTCTCGATAGTTTCGTCTTGTGAGTGGTTGGTATCTCTGTTAAGATTCCCATAGTCAAGGACCAAGAGAGGGCGACTAGGCTAGCCATAGGTCCTGATGAAGCAGTCGGGGCGATCGTCGGCTTCGCTCGTAGAGCCCCAAATGGTCGTTGGTGAGGCTAACAAAGCGTCCTCGCTAAGACTCAATCCCAGAGGAGGCT